TATATATATATATGTTATCTAATTACTTCTGCATAGATTGTGCTGTTTCAGCTATTTTATACATCAAAACATTCAGTTCATTCAGGAGTTGGGTTCTATGACTTTTGATTTGTGTAACTTTTATGTTTTTCACAAATTTTTAAATATATTCCAAATATTTTCCACAGAAAATTTTCAGATAATTTCAATTAATCAAAACAGATATACATTTGAAATCTAGCTTACTGGCTTTAATTTAATGTATATTTTTACCTTGTGCTACATTTAGCTACGTAGCTACTTTTATCCTTTAGCTAGTTTTTTTAATCCTTTTGGCTTTTAGCCATCATCATTATTTTACTGCTTTTAACGAACATTTTGCTTATTTTATATAACATTTTTCTGTATTTATCTTCTACATAGCATTTTGCTACTTTTACCATTTAGCTTCTTTTTGCTACTTTTAGATTTTTAGTTAACTTTCCACATTTTTACTTAGTGTTTTGATAAATTTAGCTTCCAGCTACTACTTTGCTCCTTTTAAATTTTACCTGCATTTGCYACATTTAACCTGTAGCTAGCAATCTGCTCATCTTAGCTTTAGGCTAGTGTTTTGCTCCTTTAGCTTTTAGCTATATTTCTGATTTGTTTAACTGTAACAACTCATTTTAGCTTCTTTAGTAAATTTCAGTGAAGTCATTCAGCTCTCAGCATTCACACTGTGTTTTGGTAGAATTTTCCACTCTAATTTATCTTAACTTTTTTGKTGTTATTTTTATATTTTTTAAAGACCTTTATGTTTTCATTAAACTATACTTTTGTATGGAAAGAGAGCCTCATTCATAAAACAATTTAACAATAAGTTCAAACCACTACAAACTAAATTTGGTAAGCAGTTATTTTCTAAATGGTCTACACTTAAGATGAATGCCAGAGTTCAGCACGCACGCAGAGTATGATTAGCTTTATTCACTCATTGCTTTAGACTAAACACCTCACAGCTTTAACAGCTGCTACTCATGTGAGCTTCAACTTCATGAATGTTAGGAGACAAATAAACCCAGAGAAAATGATTACAGCCTGACGTCTGCTTCCATCCCAGAAACTGATTGTTGAGGAACTCTACCCATGACCAATTATACAAGTGTAAACGAAGCTMGGAGGGTCAGGCGACTGAAGGAACGGCATGTGTTGTTGTCAAAATAAACTWATCGAATGAGAACAGTTTGCTCAGCTTTGAAATGAGGATGTCATGCAATCAGCACGGAGCTGGAGCAAACACATGTAATTGTTCTGGTTGGGCTTTTGTTGTGGGCGAGAAAGTTTAGCCACTGGATCGGCACAAGTCGAGTTCAACATTTCCCTACAAAACAGCACGGACCCTCTTTCTCACACTCCCTTCTCCTCCTTCTGCTTGCCATACCTCAGCAGTCATTCTGTAATCGTCCTCATTTCCTCCCATTATCTTTCTACCCAAATGAGCAACTAGCATGTCCTTTAAAAGCAAGCRTGCTTCCTTCTCTCTACTTTTCTTAATTAAATAATTCATGGAAAGCATCTGAGTGCTGCTTTAGGACTATAATAAACTAGGAGACACAGTGTAAAGAACATTAAATGTAAAAATGGAGCAACGTGGCTTTAAACATGAGCTGTGTATATGTATAAAATRTAGTGTAAAGGCACCACCGTTGTACAGTCAGCAAAGACAATTTAAAGCAAAGCTGGATGACATCATTCACTATTTGAAGCCTAATTATAGGGCTTTAAAAGGCTTTTGCCTGGGCCTCGTGCACCTACACAAACACAGATCTGTTTAAAGATTTCTCTCCCTTTTGCAGTTTTAAATCTATTTTTGGTCTGTAAAGCAAATCTCAGCTTCTGAGCCACATCAGACATCCAACTCACAGGCCRGCAGGTTTTATGTGTCCTCATGTGAGAGTATCACTCTTTAGATGTGGTCAATCAGCCCAACCCTTCTCTCTCTCTCTCCCCTTCCCTCTCTTTTAGGTACCGGTCCCATCCACATGAACAGCGTTCAGTGCACTGGCAGGGAGAGGTCAATCACAGATTGTCGCTACAGCCCCGTGCCTCTGTACACCTGCAAACACAATCAAGACGTAGCCGTGCGCTGCAACGTCCCCAACACTGGCGTTCAGGCCACTGTGAGCAAAACACACAAAAAAAACATCCCTCTGTGTGTGTACAACAGTTATACGCTCACACTGACAGGAACTTTCACATTCAGGTGCGTCTGGCAGGGGGCAGAGATCCTGGGGAGGGCCGTGTAGAGGTGCTGATGGAGGTTGGAGGAGTGAAGCGTTGGGGTTCGGTCTGCAGCGAGAACTTTGGTCTCAACGAAGCCATGGTGGTCTGCCGACAACTGGGTTTGGGATTTGCCTCCAGAGCTCATCAGGTAAGCTCATCAGACTGCGGGCCTTTTGATTTTAATAAGTGGCCTTCTGCTTCTGAACTTTTTGTTCTTTGTGTTCTTGTGTTTCCACCTCTCTCTCYCKCTCTTTCTCTCTYTCTTTCTCTCTTTTTTTCTCTCTTATTCTCTTACCATCCTGGCGTTTGTGTGACTGCTGTGTTATTACTGAGGCCTGAAGTAATTACAGGGTTCTCAAACGTCCACTTCCACTGCACCGAAAATAAAAGAGGGAAAGTGAGGCGAGGAGAGAGCTGGGGGGAAATTCGCACAGCAAACAAACTGAAAATAGAACAGTGAATGGAAAAGGCAGCTTAAGTGCGCTGTGATGGGGGGGCTGCTGGGAACATTTAACAAGCAGTTTTAAAATTGTGAATAAGGAGTGGAAAATGTGATAATGCATACTGATAGTACCTATAAAAAAATGGGTTTTGGTGTTTACTGCAGAGGCTGCTCTGTGCTCTCGGGCTTTTTTATTGTTATTCTAGAGGGCCTTAGGATCCAAATCTCCATTCTGTTCTTGTGTCTCTGTGCAGGAGACCTGGTACTGGCCGGGGTCTTCAGATGCCAGTGAGGTGCTACTWAGTGGGACTCACTGCATCGGCACCGAGATGTCTGTCCAGCAGTGTCGCAGAAATACCCATGTCTACTGTCCCCGAGGAGGAAATGGCAGAGCTGCAGGAGTCACGTGTGTTGAGAGTGAGTCGAAAAACATCATAGTACAATGAGTGTTAAAAATACAAAATTAACACTTCAATATGTATTCATGTGTTTGAAACACTAAAACAAAGTGAAATGAGTAATGACAAGGATCAGGGATTGTCAGGGCTGAGTGGAACCAAGAAACCAGACACTACTACAAAAAGGTAAGGGACTTTATTTACAGGTGCTGTAGGGAGGATCTGGATCTGAAAGAGTGGGGAAGTGACAAGGTGAGTCCAGGCTTTAAGATAAATTGTCTTTGTAGGTAACAAGCGAGACGTCCAGAAGACCAGCGTGGAGGAGAGGTGGGACCAACARGTGAGTATTGTCTTTTAGGCTGAGTGGCCAGGTGAATTTCAAGGTAAGGCACTTTTTTGCCCCTTTTCCACTRGTGCCACTTAGTGTAGTGTCGGTATGGTTCCAAGCCATGTCCGTTAGGCCATATTCTTAAAACCAGCCCTTTTTTTAGTACCTACTTTGTTGTGGTTCCAAGTGGTCCCAGTTGACACCAAAATGTGACATCAGAACACTGTTCGTCACTGATTGGCTAGGGAGTGGAGTCACTGGTTGCGTCTGAGCTGCTTTTACAACAACTCGAGGTGCCAATGTTTCAATTGTAGCAGTGACATTAGTCATGTTTCCATTCAACTTTAATTCAAATTTTTAGCAAATTTTTTTAAATTTCAGAACTTATTTGGCAAATGTGTTTCCATCTCTCATTTTGTGCATTAACTCATTTTTGAAAACCCAAAAACCACCTCCACCAACCATCCAAATCACACCCACTGGAACCGGACTGGAACGTCAATGGAAAAGCACCCGAACTGACCCRTTCCGACACTTCACTAAGTGGCACTAGTGGAAAAGGTGGTTCACAGACACAGGCACACTTTGGCACACTGTGGCAAGAACCTTGAAGAGGACAAAATCATGGACCAGGTAACTCAGGTAAGTTAGAATAACTGAGCRGCTGCAAGAWACTACCTTGATGATGTGWTGCATCAGCTAAGACCAAGATGACAAKTGAGTCTTTCAAACCTCAGGAGCTCATAAGAAGGATCACTTGTAGATGTAGGTAATCAGAGCCAGGAACGAATCAGGAAACATGGAAGCAGAAACATCAATTATCACAGTACCCTCCCCTTAGCAATCGCCTCTAGGCGATCTTGGATGCTTCTCCAGGTGGGCCCTGTAAAAAGCAGAAACAAGGGAGGGGTCCAGAATATAGGACCTAGGAATAGGACCTGCTGGAGTGGACAGTGGGCAGAGAGAACTCTCAGTGACTGRCTTGATCTGTGACACATGAAAAGTGGGATGTATGCGTATAGAGGTGGGCAAAGTCAGACATACTACTGAGGGGTTAGTAATGCACTCCACGGGGATAGGTCCTATAAAATGGGGGGTCAGCTTTCTTGGGGTGTCCTTGAGCTGGATATCCTTAGTGGAGTGCCAGACACTCTGGTCGATATGGTAGGTATGAGCCGTGGTGTGGTGTCTGTCTGCCATCTTATTTTGCTCAGCCATCCTCAGCAGGGCCTCCTTGGTCTGTCGCCAGATTTGCCAACACCTGCGGAGATGATGTTGGAACCAAGGGGACTGAAAAATCAGACTCCACACTAGGAAAGAGAGGGGGGTTGTAGCCCAGGGAGGCTTCAAAACGAGACAGACCAGTAGGATGTGTGAGTATTGTGGGCTTACTCTACCCAAATGAGGTGTTGAGMCCACGTAGAGGCGTTGTTACTGGCCACACAGAGAGCGGCTTCGAGCTCCTGATTACAATGCTCAGTTTGTCCAATTGGACCAGATGAGAGGTTGGTGGTGGCTCCAAGAGTGTTGCAAAAAGYCTTCCACACCTGTGAGACATACTGTGGTCCTCTGTCTTACACCACGTCCATAGGGATTCCTTAAACTCTAAAAACATGCTGTACAAGGAGTTGGGCCATTTCGAAGGTGGACAGGAGCTTAGGCAGAGGTACAAATGGGCAGCCTTGGAGAAAYGATCTACAACAGTTAATATGACTGTATTACCTTGGGAGGGGGAAGACCAGTGACTAAACGGACCAGTGATGAAATCTAGAGCAATGTGGTACCAGGGTCAACCAGGAGCAGATAATGTTTGCTACAGTCCAGCAGGGGGTTGGTTTCTACTTTTACAATGGGTACAGGTAGGACAGGCTGCCATGAACTCCTTGAMTTTTGCAAACAAATTTKGCCACCAAAAATATCTTGCAGCTAACGAGAGCATGCAGTTTACTCCAGAATGACAGGAGAACTTATTGGAGTGAAGCCAATCCAACACTACCTTTTACAGAAGCAGGGACATCTAACTTGGCCTGTAGGCCACCACCTGGGAGAAGAGGCAAAAGCAGCTGACTGAGGGAATGAAGAGGTGACGGCAGCCGACCCAGGGGATGAAGAGGCAATGGAAGCCGACCCAGGGTACGAAAAGGCGATGGCAGCTGACCCAGGGTATGAAAAGGCGATGGCAGCCGACCCAGGGTATGAAAAGGCGATGGTAGCCGACCCAGGGAATGAAAAGGTGATGGCAGCTGACCCAGGGTATGAAAAGGCGATGGTAGCCGACCCAGGGAATGAAAAGGCGATGGCAGCTGACCCAGGGTATGAAAAGGCAATGGCAGCCGACCCAGGGGACAAAGAGGCGACGGCAGCTGACCCAGGGTATGAAARGGTGATGGTAGCCGACCCAGGGAATGAAAAGGCGATGACAGCCAACCCAGGKTATGAAAAGGCCATGGCAGCYGACCCAGGGGACAAAGAGGCGACAGCAGCCGACCCAGGGCWCACAGGAACCGCCAACACAGGAGCCTCAGGAACCACCAGAACAAGCAACTCAGGAACAGAAAACASGAGGGGTGAGAGGATGGGCGGCCTAAATCTTTAGAGCGTACGCGAGGACCCTCCAGGGCCAGGCAGGAGCAACAGATCAGAGAGCGATGCCAGAATGCTCTTGATCTGCCAGCAGAGGAGATGTTTAGCCGCAAGGGTGGAGGACCGCCAGAGGATCGTCAAAGATCCCCTGATGAGAGGGTGTGTCACCTGTCGTCCCACAGAAAACCAGGTGACAGAGACAAGACCGGCTCYTCAGAGGCAGGGGAAAGAGTACCAACTGCAGGGGACCTAGGCGATGGCTCTCTGTCACCCTCTGCAAAAGGCAGACCAGAAAGAAACTTTTACCTGCAGGCTAAGTACTTGGTCTGATCATTCTGTGATGTTTAGCAGAGATCGACCCAGGGCCCAACTTAAATATTTGAAAGAAATTACAAACTTGGATTGTGGTGTTGAAGACATCTCTTTAACTTTAGMTCAACTTGAGGTTAACAAGTAAAATTTAGCTACAAAGAAGCTAAAGTTTAAATCTATTGAATTAGCAAGATTAGCTACTTAGCAGCTAAGGTTTGCCCAAATTCTGTAAAAATGTGGAAAATTTTAGAATGTAATCACAATACGTTGTGAATAACATATTTTTTAAAATTTTGTTATTTTATTAATTTAAATGATTTCTCACACAACATTAAAAGTATGTACCGTAGTTTTCATCAGCTTGTTATTCTTGCAGCTGCTCCTGACCTGGTGGTGGATGCTCAGCTTGTCCAGGAGACGGCCTACTTGGAGGACCGACCGCTCCACCTGTTGACCTGCGCTAACGAGGAGAACTGCCTGTCGTCCTCTGCTGCCAGGATGAACTGGCCCTACGGCTACCGGCGCCTACTGCGCTTCTCCTCCCGCATTATGAACATGGGCCTCGCTGACTTCAGGCCACGAGCCACCAGAGACAGCTGGACATGGCATCAGTGCCACAGGTAAAGAAGAAAAAAAAACAGGACAGTGCAGACATTTATTGTAGAACGACCTCATAGAACTGCTGGACCTCTCAGCAGAACCTTGGGACTTTTAGTTTATAAAATCATTTGATAGTTCTACTGGGACTAAATGTGCAGACTACAATAGACTACAGAGAGATTAATGGTGTGCCCTGAAGTAGACAAGAACTAGTGTCTGAATGACCAAAATGGCTATAGGAATGCAGTCTGTGTGTGCGGTCACTAAATCCCAAACACGGACCACTTTTTAACTTTGTGCACCATAAATCTGAGAATAACAAAACATGGTCAGTTTTTTGTTGCGATGCGRTAAGGACTTCTTACTATATTTTGAAAGTTTTCTTTTTTTTTTAACTCTCACATCTAACTCGTGCGTTCCTTAATTTTATTCCAAAGAAAAAGTCTCAGCAGAAATGCACAACTATAGATAAAGATTAYAGTATATTATTTTACACTTCAATAAAAAATGCACAATTTACATCAACATTTTGTAATTCTCTGAATCRTATTTGGTGTAGCTTGACAGCAACGACAGTAACATGTAAACAYCTACGGTGTTAATCTGTCTCTTTGACCTACAGTATAAAAAGTGCCCTTCTTGCTTTCATCACAGCCAGATCTTACAATTTAGTGGTGTTTACTTTAAAAAACATGGAATTATGTTTTGATTTTTGGAACAAGACACACTGCTGTTCAGTCCAACACAAAGTACCTGGTTCTGATGTAGCATATGATAAAGAAAAATTTAATCTCTGCAGCCTAAGCTGAATCAATCAATCAATCAATCAATCAATCAATCAATCAATCAATCAATCAATCAATCACCTTTATTTAACCAGGTAGAGCCCGTTGAGATCGAGATCTCTTTTACAAGGGTGACCTGGTCAAGTGGTCATCAGCACACGTCACACAGTAGTTGACAAAGCATTTGCATTGATCAAAACGAAATAAGGAAAGAAAAAAACTACAATCACGATAAATAGATGTTGGCAGTTCAGAAACATCTGGATAAGACAGAATTCTACAGGTATTTACAGTATTTGGTAGACATGAAAAGAAATTTAGGTGAGAAAAAAATAAGTTAATGTATAAAAACAGACAGACATTGTTTGAGTAGATACAGTAAAAAAAAAACGAGTTACGTTTAATGGATAGGTAATGTTTAGAAACATCTGCAACGGTCAAGTTTCCTGAYGACGTTATCTATTACGGTTGACATGAAGGATCTAGGAGGGATGAGTGTTGACGGTTTCAGATCTGTCTGTAAGTTGTTCCAGGCTGAGGGGGCTGCGAAGCTGAATGCTCYTTTTCCTAGTTCAGTTCTGACTGGAGGCACTGACAGGAGGACTAGATCGTTAGAGCGCAGGGAGTAATGACTGTGTGATGTTTGTATCAAGGAGGTAAGGTATGACGGACTAGGTTTAGTAGGGTCTTGTAAATGATGGATATCCAGTGGGTGTATCTGCGGGCGTTGAGAGATGTCCAGCCAGATTTGACATAAAGCTCACAGTGATGAGTCTAATAAGTGGAGTCAGTAATGAACAGAAGAGCACTGTGGTAAATGGAGTCTAAGGACTGGAGGTATTTTGATGCAGCACTCATGTACAGCACATCACCATAATCTAATATCGGCATGAATGTAGCAGCTACAAATATTCTCCTTGCTTTGCATGTGAAGCAGGATTTGTTTCTGAAGAAGAAGCCTAGCTTCAGTTTGAGTTTAGAGGCCATTTTGAAGATGTGTGTTTTAAAAGACAGTTCACTATCAATGTAGAAACCTAGGTATTTGTAGGTGGAGACCATTTCTATTAGATTTCCCTGTTTGGTTTTGATTTGAGGTGGGTTCACTGATTGCTGTTTTCTGTTTGAATGAATACTTGAATGATAACTTCCATCCATTATCTTTTACTTGAATCTTCCTTTCAGGGTCACTGGTGCCCAAATCCAGCATATCACTGCATGAGGGGTGGGGTACAACCTGGTAAAAGTCCATCACAGGGCCACACATAGACACAAAGTTGGAGTTACAAATTAACCTGACATTCATGTTTTTCATCTGTGGATGGAAACTGGAGTGCCCAGAGAAAACCCATGTATGCACAGAGAGAACATACGAACTCTACTCGGGCTGAGATTTGATCTGACAACCTCTACTTGCTGAGAGGCATCAGCTCTACCAACTGAGCCACGGTGCCGTCCTATTCGACAACTTGTGATTTAGAAAGTGAAATAAGCACACGGGACTCTTATATTCCTTGGATGTGGACTATAAATAGTCAAACATCTATAAAAGTTTGTTATCTGACACGATAAACACAACTCTGAGATGGAGAGGACAATAAACATCCAACTTCCTGGTTAACCCAGTTGTTCCCAGTCAGAGCAGCCTGGCTTCTTATCTCAGCTGTTGTGGTTCTGTGTCCAAACAACGAAAAGCTCGGTCACAACCACTGCCCACTCAACCAGCAAACACAAGGTTTGACTTTCACTTTTGGTAGTATTTAGTTTTTTTTTTCTGGGAACGGCTTTGCATCGAAAGAACCACACAAAACTGATATCTTCCATTTTCCCCCGAGTTCTCCCGTTTTTTTCAGACACCGTCGCAGAACCAAAACAGAATTTGCGGCAGCCATATTTCAAACTAAAAGAGTTTCTTTTATCTAAAAGAATAAAAACAAAAACAACAACATGCTGAATAAAGAGCTGTCCTTTGTGTCTTTTTTATAACTTTGTGTTATTTTTCTTTCTTTGTGTATTCGTTTCAGGCACTACCACAGTATTGAGGTGTTCACCCACTAYGACCTCCTCACTCTCAATGGGACAAAAGTAGCCGAAGGTCACAAAGCCAGTTTTTGTTTGGAGGATACCTACTGTCCTGAGGGTAAAGTGTGATTATAGATTAACAACACATCAAACAGATGTGCTCACAGCTGCACAAATGTGAGAAAGAGAAATAAGAAAATACAATATAGGAAAGTGTAACTTATTAAGTATTTTTTAAGACAAAAAATTGCTTTGAAGAAATATCTCTGACTTTTTAAGATGTTCTCTGTAAAGAGTGTAGTCRGTGTTCTACCTGCACCAGACAAGTCAGAAGTCACAATGATGGATGAAGAAATTTTCATGCAGAAGTCAAGCTAATGACTGACAACTTTCCACCATCAAAAACAACTCAAACCTAGAAGACGCTCAAGATGRAGCCATTTTGTGAATTTTTACACATTACTTTTACGCCTGTTAGTTATGATACAGTTTCCATCACAGCTGACCTGTGGTGTGTACAAACAGAACTGTCTTTGTAAATMACCAGTGGATGTGAAAGTGATGCATCGTAAAAAAAAAAAAAACTTTACAAAAGAACATTCACATGAACAAGTTGTTTTTAAAGTTTGACTTGTTTTCGATGGCATGAGTCTACTCTCTGACTAGCTGTTAGCTTGTTTCCCACATGAAAATCTCTCCCTGTTTCTCACAAAAAAAATTTCATGAAAAACATTCATTGTATATTTCCAACTCAGGCCTCCATAAGCGATTTGCCTGCTACAACATGGGAGATCAGGGGATCTCTGTGGGCTGCTGGGACACGTACCGYCATGACATCGACTGTCAGTGGGTTGACATCACAGACGTGCGACCTGGTGAATACATATTTCAGGTAAGACCAACGCACACGAAGCATTCAACGACATAATTACCCTCCATCACTGAACGTTAAAGGTGTGTTTTTGTATTTATATGTGTGTGTTTGTTTCAAGAAACACTGAACAGATTTTACTGAAACTTACAGAAAGTAAKCACTGAATGTTAAACWGAAACTGCAAAAACCTTTGGAGTCAGCCCCATTTAAGTTGGTTACCACAGCTAACTGGCATTTAAAAAAGCACAAAAAGATTAAAACTCAGCAAACCTATGACCAGTGTTATATAAAGTTCCTCAAAGTGGTACTTCAGTAAAAGTACAAGTATCTTGTCATGAAAATACTTTGGTAAAAGTTAAAGTC